GCCGGGGGGGGGGAAGCTTGTAGGTTAGTTGGGAGACCTAGCCTATAAAATAAAAAAATTGAATGATAGTATAAGATAATCCATAATTAGGTGTCAAAGTAAATCGCCCAGATATAAAAAGTTCAGAGTGAGGAGAGACCCCTGGAAGATGGAATGACTCGGACAGCAGGAGGGAGTACGTGGTCTTGGAGGGATGAACAAAATGGAGGTGGCCTCTTCTGCTGAGGGTGTGCAGGAGTAAAGGGCAAAGCACAGCATCAGCAAAGATGGACGAGAGGAAAGAACATGGGGTGCTACACAATTTGGCTTGTAAACACTCCTTGTGCAGTCAGATAGCAGGATCTGGGGTGTGACTCTAGACCAACACCTTTTGACATGTATGACCCCAGACCAATCATTTTATTTGCATTACTCCTCAGTTTCCTGACCTGTGAAGTGGGCATCAGGAATGAAATGAGGCAGGTAAAGTTGTGTCTGGCACTTAGAAAGTCCTGGGTGGCAGCTACACATGGTCTCCTGGTGGGGCTACCGTGCAGCAGTTCCGTTTAAATAGTGGAGAAAGGTGTGTGGCCAACGTGAAACCATAACGTAAGAGCCCAAAAGAGGACTGGAAACTATAGCCATGAACTAAAAGCAGTGTGTATCAACCCCAGAATCGGATAACACAACCAAACCACAAGCGCTGCTCAGGTCTTTAAAGTTCTGAGGCGGGGCTAGACCTACTGTAACTTACTTTGTGCGCTGGAGTCAAACCACATTTTTTTTTTTTCTTTTTCTCTTCAGACATCACAGGATATATACTCCTTTGTTCAGATTTGAGATAAGGTACCCCTTCACCCTGACTCTCATTTGAGGCACTAACTCACCTATTTGTCTACTTTCTATGCTAGGTCCACCAGCTTCTATTTAGTAGGCACATGGGTTTGTACTTGAAGTCAAATTGAAGTTAAATCTTTTAAGACCTGGTCTGTGGTTCGACTGAGAGGATAGTCTTAAGAAAAGGAAGTGAGAGCCTCCAAAGAGACAGCCAAGGGGTGGTGTGTGGATGTTTCAAAGGGTTGTTTATTTTGCCACCAGTAATCCCCTATGAAGCTGTTGCTCAGTAATTATTTTTGGTTTCATGACTTTCAACCTAACCCCTGTGCTGAAAAGAGAGGATCTATAGCGAGGTGTTGACAATGATTTCTCAGCAGCTGCTACAAATTAATAGCTTTGGCGGCCTTCCCAAGTCAACCCATTAAAATTATCAGGAAAATCAGCTTTAAGAAATTTCCCAAAGACCCTTAGCCCAATCTAATGGAATTTTTGCTCCAAGCTAAGAGTGTCCGTTCCTGGATTTCTTCTGCTCTTGGAGGGCCCACCAGGTTCCAGCCCAATTTGAGACCGTCAGGATGGGGTTGAATTAGCCTAACAGAATTCCTGGAGCCTTCTCTGGCTCATGGACCGTCACAAAGGCCAGTTAGAGTGAGAGCCTGGCCACTAGAATCAGATGACTTCTTGGAAACATGTACTTGTGGTCCCAAGGATCCCCAGTAAACTGGAATTTAGGCCTAGAACCAACATGGAAATGTCTCAGGCTTTCTCCCAGACTCTGAGTAAAGGGTCTCCACTTTGCTTTTGATAGTTACGAGCACAACCTCAGAAGCCAGTCAATCCTGGGTTTGAATCTCACTTATTGCCTGTGCAGACTCGGGGAAATAAACTTTTCTATGCCTCCATTTCCCATCTGTCAAATAGGGATAATAATAAAGCCTACTTCATAGGATTGTTTTATAGATTAAAGAAATGAATCCATATCAGCTGTAGAGAGTATGCTATCGCTCAATAAATGTGGGTGACAGTAATTAGAAGTAATTCTAACTGTCTCAAGCCCACAGTGTACATTATCACATCCGGTAGGGAGTGGCCTGGTGAACAAAGCCTGTGGCCTTGCCAGGCCCTGCAGCCACGAGCTACAGCTTCTAAGAGGAAATGGTTTCATCATTCAGCTGTCTAGGTCAGGGCCACTTTCTTCAGGGAAGGGCTCTGTGACCTTGCCTGATGGACATGCTTGGTTACACACCCCAGCCTGAGTCTGCCACCCCCCCCATCCCCAATCTGTAGCTCAGAGAGGCACATGCCTACGTATTCTGCAGAATTCTTGCATGACAGGCCCCAAGTGTCCCTGTGCAGAGCCTTCTTGTTCCTGGCGCAGGTGAGGATCCCACGAAAGTTAGTGCACTTCTGAGGCTTCTTTTATCATGACTGTCACATTTACTTAGGGAATGCATTTAAGGATAGGCTATCCCAGCGTCCAGGGCAAAGGCAACCTCTAGCTTGGTAGAAAGGCTTTCTTTCTTTCTTTCTCTCTCTCTTTCTTAAAAATTAAAAAAAAATTTGAACAATGTTTGCTTTTCTCTCCCCCCCTCAGGTATAGTTCCATAGAATTTCCATCACCAATGCACCCGTGCACCATCACCACAGTCCCTTGTGCTCCTCCCTCCCTCCCTCTCTCCCTCTTCCTGCCCTGCAGGATGTCTCTGGTTTATAATTGTCTGTTTGTTTTGTTGTTTTGTGTTGTTATTATTTTTTCCCCTGATATCTTATTTGGTTCCCCTATGTTCCTCCTATAAGTGAAACCATCTGGTATTTTTCTTTTTCCTTCTGATTTATTTCACTGAACATAATACCTTCTAACTCCATCCATGTTGCTGCAAATGACATTAGTTTATCTTTTTTGATTGCTGAATAGTATTCCATTGTGTATATACACCACATCTTCTTGATCCAGTCATCTATTTGGGGGCATTGTTTCCAGGTTTTACCTATTATAAATAGTGCTGCAATAAACATAGGGGTACAGGTGTTCTTTTGAATTAATGTTTTTGTGTCCTTTGAGTAGATCCCTAGTAGTGGAATTGCTGGGTCATATGGTAGCTCCATTTTTAGTAGACTGAGGAACCTCCAGACAGTTTTCCATAGTGTTTGGACCAGTTTGCACTCCCACCGGCAGTGTAGGAGAGTTCATTTTTCATCACATAATCGCCAACATTTGTTTTTACTAGTTTTTTTTTTTTTTTTTTTGATATGTGCCATTCTCACTGGTGTAAGGTGGTATCTCATTGTGGTTTTGATTTGCATTTCCCTGATTTTAGGGAATGCTGAACATTCTTTCATATGCCTGTTGGGAAAGGCCCCTTTTCAATTGACCCGGAAGCCTTATCACTATGCTTAGAGGCTCAGGCATGACGGGCTTTAAGTAGCAGAGATGGCATGGTGGGGTTGGGGGCCATGTCTCTGTGTGCTCTCCATTGCATTCTAGCCCCTGGCACAGTGTAGGAATGGCACGACCCATTGTGGTTCCTGAACCAGACTATCTACGGTGGAGTCTTATCATTGTTGCTCATTAGCTATGTGACCACTGGCAATTTCCGTAACCTCTCTGTGCCTCTGTTTCTTATCTGTAAGAGGGAATGATAATAACAGTGCTTTGAAGCTTAAATGAGTTTTCATAAAAATGTTAGGAACCAAGCCTGGCAGGTAGGAGCATAAGTGTTAGCTGTTATTTCCCACATGCTAGAAATTATAGTTCTAGGTTTTAGCTCAGATAAAAAAGGGAGACAGATCCAGAGTTCTAGGAAAGAGACTACTTGACCTGAAGTCTGTTCTCTGAATGCTCCTACTTCGCATGAAAGGAGGTCCTGCTTGGATGCTTCCGATTTCAACTTTGGGAGCATGAGTCCCCCAGAATCGAACCTGATAGCCAGATCTCGGAATTTTGTTTTAGATCCAGGAATTAAGGTGGCCACGGACAGTAGGAACTCAAGGTAATCCAGCACAAATGGGTCTGTTCAACTATCCCCAGATCCAGCATCCCAGAACCATGGAGTCTGCTAAGTGTGCCCTTTGACCTAAATCTTCGTGACGTCGGTAACACAGCAATAGGTGAAATGCCAGCCACACCTGGCTGGCCCATAAAAAGGAAATACTTCCCACACCTTGCTTCTGTACACCCCAGGCCCCCAGGTAAAGGCATCCCCAGTGCAAGCCGCTTGCTTTAATGCCTGGGTGTGGCTGCGGGAACCACCCTGTACAAACCGGAGTGAACTTGCTGCCCTTTCCCTTCCCTGCTGCCAAGTCAAACAGAACACAGGGAGCACAAATAGAACCGTCACAATAAACCGGTTGTTGGAGCCAGACAGAGGAGAACCCACTCCCTGGCACTGACATCCCCTTCTCGGGTCCAGACACGATGGATGAGGTGCTCAGAGGACTGAAGGTGTGGCCCATGGGCATTCCTGCCCAGCAAGAAATCCTCCGGCTTGTCTGTCCTCACTGCCACCCACATGGACTTCTCCGGGAGCTGCTTACCCAGGCTGGGAGGGAGGAGGGTCTCCTCTTCCTCCCAGGCCTGGATCACCGGGAAATACCCTTCCCACCCACTCAACTTGACTAATGCTGTTTGTCAAGGAGAGAACTCTTTAGACAATTTACAATCCTCAGGCAGCTGAAGTAGGGAGGAATTCGTGCTGGACGTGCTTCCCTGCAGGGTCAAGCATGGGGGAGGAGGGGGGGAGGGAAAGAGGGGCGGGTCCTGTGACAGCTTCAGATAAATCTGGGCAGAGCTTCCCAGGTAGCCGCTGAACTCAGGTAGTGCCCTCCCTAGCCTGGGGCGGAACACAGTCTCCCAGAACTCGCCCAAACCTTTCTGCTGCGTGTGCTCTGGGGCATGTCTCTCTTTGCCTCTTGGATCTTGGGCCAATGAGGAAATATAGGCTAGTTCCAAGCAGGGATAGAGCCAGGTTCTTTGTGGTGTCAGCACCTTTTCATGAAGTTCTAGCACACCTCACAAAAGGTATTCATTCTCTCCTCTGTCTTGTCTTTAATAAGGCGGGGGAAAGGCCTGGGGAGAGTCTCCCCTGCAAGGGTAAACTTGTGGAGTGATCCAAGTGGAAGATTCTTGCGCTTTCCACCACTTGGGGGTGGGGGTGGGGGTGGGGTCGCTGGGGGATGAAGGAAGAGCAAAAGCTCTGAAAATGGACATCTTTGGGCAAGTTACTTAACTGCTAGAGCCTTCATTTCTTTGGTTGTCAACATGGGCATAAGAAGACCTTGTTCACGGGGATGTTAGGAGAATAAAATGAGATAACAAATATGAGAACACGCTCTACCGTCCTGGCACAGCAAGGGACCAGGTAAATCTTGCCTTTGGTTTTTTCTTCCTCCCATACTCTAGACCAGCGGCTTCCTAGGTTCTCGAATGGCCCGAAGAATTGGAAGAGGGATGCAGAGAGAGATAGAATCTTACCGTAAACAATTCTGTCATATTCTAACTCAGTTCTGAATTTAAAGTAGGGAAGATAAGGACTGCCACTCTACTTCTTTTCCAGATGGTAAGATAGGCTCTTTATGCGCCTGGGGTTAATCATATCAGCACTTTACTTTCCCATCTGAAACAAAACACAACCACTTCATTCCCTTGCCAAAACTGATTCATATCAAATCCACCCTAAAGTTAGGGCTTCCCATTAACCCAAATTTGAAGTTTCTCTTTTCCCTCTGCCTTATGCTCTAGGAGGAGGTTTGGGGGTGGGGGCAGGACAACTGACACTCCCAAAGGGGTTTTGTTTGCTCATCAGTTAATAAAAAAAGTAGGACCTATTATTGTTTGCTCGAAAATGTCAGAATTAGTCAATGGTGGCCTTTCCTGTGTTTCTGTAATAAGCAGAATCTGTAAATGCTTGAATATATGTTGTGAATCTCAACTGCTATCTGGATATTCTTTTTATATATATATATTTATTTTTTATTTATTTTTACATCATTTTTAAAAAGATTTATTTATTTATGCATATAAGAACTGGGGCACAGGCCAGAGATGCAGGGAGTGAGAGAATTCACCTGAGCAGAGTGGGAACAGAACAGGCAGACTGACTGAAATACACTGCTGAGGGGAGAAGCGGGTGAGACAGGAGAGGTCTGCCGCGCCATGTGGGTTGCTCCCTGGCAGGCCGGGGATCAAACTCGTGCTGCAGAGGCTGCGGACCGCTTCATATTGCGGTGCCCAATGCCTTGCACCATCCATCATTGTTCATTTTTAAACAATATTTGCTTTCCCCCCACCCTCCACACACACTCAGGTGTAGTCCCATAGAATTTCCTTCCCCAAGGCACCCGTGCACCCTCACCACAGTCCCCTGTGCTCCTCCCTCCTTCCCTCTGATCCCTCTCCCTCCTCCTCCCCTGCAGGATGTCTCTGATTTATAATTGACTGTTTTTGTTTTCTCTTATTTTTTTTTTTACACTGATGTCTTATTTGCTTTCCCTATATTCCTCCTATAAGTGAAACCATCCGACATTTTTTCCTTCTGACTTATTTCACTGAGCATAATGGAAATTCTTTTTAAGCGCTGAGGATGACTTTATTCAGCTCACTGTGCCCTTCTGTTTGACCTATATTTATTTATTTTTTTTATAGTTTTTTTTTTATAGAGGCATGTTTTTATTTATTTATTTATTTGATTTGTTTTTGTTTTGTTTATACATGCACTGGGTACAGTCAGAAGCACGGGAGGGTGAGAGAATTCACCAGAGCCAGAGCGGGGAGCAGAGCAGGCAGAAGGACCGAAGTACACTGCTGAGGGGAGCAGCGGGCCGCAGGAGAGGTCTGCGCGCCATGTGGGACCCTCCTCCAGTGGCCAGGGAGCAGCCGGGGATCGAACCGTGGCCGGGGAGCAGCCGGGGACCGTGGCCGGGGAGCAGCCGGGGATCGGCGCCGCAGAGGCCGCGGGCAGCTTCGCAACCCAGCGCTCAACCACTGCGCCACCGGGGAGGCCCTGACCTATATTTATAAAAGATTGCTATCTTCTATTAAGTAAGGGACAGGCATGAAAAGCATATGGCACCCTTAGATGGATGGACCAGGGTTTGGGAGTGCTGGTCAACTTGGTAGAAACCTGGGGAGTGTCAAAAGAGTGGGCAGGGAGTTAATGGAGGGCTGCTTAGAGAAGAGTGTCATGAAAGTGAGTAATAGGTAGGTCAGAGGATGTAGGAAGGGAATGTTGAAAGGGAACGGATATGTTCTGTGGGCAGGTAGTAAATACCTGAATGGGAGCCCATGGAGGGATAGTATGGAGAGACAGGGAAAGAGCCCTGAAGTGCTCATTTGTCAGAGATGGAAAAGAGGATTGCATAGATAGATAGATAGATAGATAGATAGATAGGGTAGGTAGATAGATAGATAGAGGAATAGAGAGACTCCAGACCCCGCTCATTTTAATGAAATCCCTCTTTCGGCCTCCACCATTGAAAACAGAGCTCTATCCTCCCCACAAATAACACCCTCTTAAAAATAGGAGACACAATTTAAATTCAGTGAGGCTGAAATATGATGATATTCAGAGAAATTTCAAAGTCCTGGCCTCCGCAGCTGTGCCTAAGCATTCAGATGTTCCATTCTGCTATTAGGGTGGTTGCCTTCACGTGGTCAGCTCACTCCTTCACTCCTTGGTTGCTTGATCTGGTTTTGTTTATAATTTGTTGCTGCCTCTTCCCTATAACTGTTTCCCAAGCTGTGAGGAAAAAGAGGAGGCTGGCATACTGAGTGATTTCTCACTCTGCAAGCTTGTATTGTCAAGACAAAATTAAGCAATGTAGAACGTAAAGCTTCACCTCCTAATGACCTAAGTTTTTCAGGCCTTCCCATTTTTCGGTGTCACGGTCCGTGGGCATTTCTAAACGTTCTCTTCCTTTGAGAGGAACTATTGTTGAATAGGTCTCATTCAAGTCTTCAACAGCGCTAAGGAATGAATGAATGACTAACATGCTGCTGCTTTGAAGTACAAATGACAAATCCAAACCTCTTTCTGAATCCCCTTCACTTGAGTTTATTCCAAGAGTGGGGAAGTTTTCTACCCTGGGTTTTGTTTCTGTCTCATGGGCAAAGCACTCTGGTCAGCGGTTGCTCTGAGAGCTGCTGTCTAGAGGAGAGGGCCTGGCCTCCCCGGGACCACCCTGACAATCACGGCCAACAGCGAGCGGAGGGACTGGTGTCAGCCAGGCCCTCAGTCTGGGGCTACAGGCAGCACAGCGAAATCTTGGCTCAGGACCTGGGGCAGAGGCGTGCTGGGACTGCCGAGGGGGTGTCCTGGCTTTCCAGGGGCTGGGGAACCCTCTTTGGCCCGGGGGCGGGAGACGCTGTTCCAGAATCGGTTTTGGCTTCACCGCCGCCTCAGCATTTTCTAATTTCAGCAACAAACAACAACAGCCGCAGCTGCAGCCATGGCAACAGGCCCCGCCCGCCGGCCCCGCTCCCGGCATGCAGCACGTGACGTTGGCGTCGCTCTGCGCCGCTGGTTCACATGGCGGGCGGGAGGCGGCGGGGGGATGACGTGTACTCAGGCGTCTCCATGGATATCCGGCAAGGACGTCAACGTCGCCCAGTGTTTAGTGTGTAACGTCCCTCCGTCTCCATGGGAACGTCAGGCGGCCAAACACCGGGGCCCAGCAACAGGCTTCTGATTGGCCCGCGCCCTCCGAGGCGGCGCTGGGGCTCCGGCCCGCTCTGCTGTGTTGCTGTTTTGGTTGTTTGTCTCCCGCTTGTTTGTTTTTCTAACAGATCCTGGAGGCTGCGGTCTGGACCGGTCGCCAAGGAGGGGATCCAGGAGAAAACGTGCTCAACGTGCAGCTTGAGCCTGCCGATTACAACCCAACAGATTACATAGATCCATTGTGACCAAGTCCGTTGTGGGAGTCACAGCCCTCAGGCCGGACGTCTTCACAGCCCAGTAGTTGGTATTACATGCCCTGTCCCCACCCCGCATCGAACCTCAGAAATGCTATTATCCTCGCAGCCTCATTCCAGAGGCGGCTGGCTTCACCATTACACTTGTTTATGTTCTCAGGCGCAGTTGGGGGCCTTTGTTACCTAATGTCCGGGATTCGGTGCTATTTCCCACCCCCACCCCCACCCCCTCCCCCCCGCAGGATTTGGCTACATTTTCCCTTCTGGTCCTAATTCTGTTGAATGACATCATTCATTTATCCTTATTCCAGCCAGAGAGGTACAGTTTTTTTTTGGTAGCCTGAGCAGGTACCAAAGAATCCCAAAGGACCTGTTGGGTGCTTCTATTCATATGCTCATTGACTCTTACACTTTGCGTTCGGCCCATTATAATTTAAAAGGAGTGGGTCATTTGACTTTCCAAAAGAAACAGAAAAATTGAGGACAGAGACGGGGAAATGGAGTGGAGGAGAATTCTGGTCTTAAAAGCCCAGATTTTTAAAATATGTAATACTAATATGTTGATGAAGTTAAACATTCTGAGGCCCAAATAATGTCTCCAGAAACAGTTTTAACCTTATCCTGGGCTCTCATTAGTGAAACCAACTTAACATCTGGCAGGAGATAGCAATCTAGCCCTTAGGGTTTCAGTCAAATTGTGCTTAAAAGAATGCCTTAAAATCTTTAGTTATGGTGTCAAATATAATAAATCTTCACTAGCTCATGCACATACAAGTCTGAAATGTTTCATGAAAGGTTTAGATGACCTGATAATATTTTCAAAACCCAGAGAGAGTGAGAGATTGATGCAAACCTCTATTTAAAAACAAGAAAGTAAAATTGCTTTCACAGATCTGAATTGATAAAGAGGGAATCAGTTCTCTCTGCTCTAAGTCCACTACCTCCATTCCCCTTTTTCCAGGCTGAAGAATATCCTTGCTAAGTGTTCTCCCCCCCAGCCCTTAGTCAGATCCATGCCTACAATTTCCTTCATAAAATTAAATGAAATTGGGAGCCTGCTTACATGCAAATAGGACCAAAGGGCACAGCTCTTTACCATAATAAATTTCATTCTGATCAAGTCACAGGGACTGCAAGTGCTTACTTTTTACCTAGTAAATAAATTAAATTGTCAGGCGAGTCTCCCTCCTGTCCTGATACTGCCAGGGAATATTTAAAAGTCGGGTATAAGATCATCTTTTTAGGTCATAAAACATCCCTTTCTAATTCTATAATCTCTTTTTCTGTTTCCAGGAACACAGAATGTCTTGGTCTCTAAGAGCTGGTATATCTGGGCTACACTGAAAGAGGAATAATGAGGTAATATTTACATTGTACGTTGAAGATGACCTGAAAAGCTGCAGGAGAAGACAGGACATTTTCTCAGTGTGGATGAGGAAGAGAGGACGGTGGATGCTGACTGAGTCCTCAGTGCTTAGATTGGACTCCAGTACATGGCTGGACATCAGTTACAACCTCAGAATTTCCATGTGATTCTCCGTCTTCCAGTCTTGCTTCTTTCTTCCTTGGTTGTTTTGACTGTGACCCAAACATGGACATGAGCCATGATGTGTGGCCCCGGAAATTTTTAAATCGGGGAAATATCCCCTTGATTACAGTGTTGATGGTCCTGAAAGCGGCAGTTTGTTTCGTATATGCTTGCATACACACATGTGCACAAACCCACGCTGGCCTGTGGTTGGGCTGAGCCATTCCATTTCACCAACCAAATTCAACATAAGGACCATGATGTTCTGCTATGATGCTGATTTCCTCCAGCCACAAGAAAATTAAGCAATTCAGCCTGTTTCCTCATATGTAAAGTGGGATGTGAAGAACTCATTGACACCTCGCATTTGCTTTGACCTAAGAAGACTGAAATGATACAGTAATTACTAGTTGGTGCTGTGGAAATACCAAATGTTGTGTAAATACTAGATTATTATTAAAGGCTACCATTTCCCCCAACATCTCCCCATCTTAGTGCTGAGTAGAGTCTCTACCACCAGGTATACACTACAGTGAGGCCTTGTCCAAGGCTGGGAGGTGTAGAAACGATGACTTATCCTGTCTTCTAAGGCCAAGTGCACACTGACCCTCTTCCACATCCCAATATTGGTGGAATTCTGCTCTTCCATGTACCCTCCTCCAGCCTAATTCTCCTCAGTTATAAAAACAAAAACATTGCTACCTGCCCTACTTACCTCTCGTGACCCTCATGGGGGTCTCACTAGGTAATGCTGTGGAAAGGATTTGAAGACCATAAAACAGAAGGCATCTTAAAGTTTAAAATATTTTACAAAATAAGGAGACCTGTAAATGGAGCAGTGTCAAGGGGGACTTGACAGGTTGGATGAATGCCCACCTGTGTGGTTGGACATGTCCTGCGTCAAGTCATTCTCCCTTACGGCCCCTAAATTTTCATTATCAGCAATCTGTTCCTTTGGAGTAAAACACTTGCTTCCGGTCTTAGCTTTCAAATACAGGTTCTTCTGTGAGTTCCTGAAGTTAACATAAATTAACTTATCAGATATGTTCCTGCCAGAAAGGTGAGGAGACAACACACAGCAGCACTGGTTCTTGAGTGGGTCTGAGGAAAAGGATGCTGGGGGCCTCATGAAGATGATTCATTTTACACCAAGTCAGCCCTCACACTTGTGCCGTTTGCTGACTGATTCACTCGGAGCCCACCTAGCACCCTGTGGCTCCACTCACACAAAAGAGGGGGAGACTCTTCTCCCCACCCTTACACAAAACCTTTAAGTACACTCTTGTGCACTAACCCAGGGCCCCCCACACTTGATGTTTAGGGGCCAGCAAAGTTTTTAAAAAGCTGGCAAACTGACGTGGTCTGCTCACTTTTAATTTTACCAAACAGCAGTTCCCATTTATTTCACAAAGGACATTTTAGCACTAAAAAAAAAATCAAAAGGACATAGTCTAAGACTAAAAGTCCTTTTTAAAAGTGAGTTTACTAGCTTTATGAAAACTGTTTTGTCATTATTTTTTTCTATCTTCGTTTGACAGTTCTATTCCTTTTTAATTTTCATGAGGTGGTGTTGACAGTGGTGAAGAACAGAGAAATCAAGGAGAGGTACAAATCTAAGTCAAGAACTGCTTAATTTTCATAGTCAAACTGACCTCTTGCTCTGTGTACCTCTGGGTTACCAGTTTGGTAGAGAGGATTAACATAATCTCACAGGGATGGCTTCCTGGTGGTGGGAATATAATACTTTGACTAATTTTTTTGCAATTGCTTCCACTCTAGGGCAGGTCACTTTGTTTCCAGTTGGTCTAATGCTTGCTCTAACAATGCCCCACCTACCCAAACACATCCAGTTTTACTTGGGGAGGTGGGTTTACTGATGGCCCTGTGCCTGTTTCAGCCAGATCTGATGAAGTTGGCTTGGTTCCCAAAGGAGGGAACAAGTCTGCCTTTCCAAGCAGTGGTGTCCCCGGCAGGTGCAGGCGACACCGGCAGAGCCAGTTTAACAAGCATCTTAGGCAAGATTTGGCCCATACTGCTTTTTCCTGCTTCCAAATTTCCTCTGGCAGAAGTGGAAACACGTTCTATGCTCTGTGGTTGCATACGAATCTAATGCAGCCAGCACAACACATATGATATATGTGTATATATTTCATATATATGTGTGTGTATGTTTCCCCCATCCAAAGTCCAATGTAAATAGAAGCTGAGACTATAATTCTAACCAATTTAAACATAATTAAGGCCCATGAGACTGAGTTTCTTTCTCAGCAGTCACTCCCTGATAGACTGGTAGATACCTAGGGACATATAAATTCACTTATTCAGGTCACCAGGGCACTACCTTCTACACTGGCGAGAAAATTTAGCCCAATTATTCATTGTTGATGTAGAGAATTGTAAGTCCACTATTAAAAAAAATGTATTGAGCCTATTCAACCAAAATGACAAAATAATATACCCATATTATTGAATTTCAGTTAATATTAGGTTAACATAACAGTATCTGTAAAGGACTCAGCATAATCCCTGAGCATAGACTCAGTAAATATTAACTAACATCTTTTCCATTTATGAATGGAAGTATTTTAAAAATTATTTATTTTTAAATTTTTTCTTACATCATTGTAGTCCCATATTTCTCCCATCACCATATCACCCATGAACCATCACCACATTCCCTTGTGTTCATTCCTTGCATTTTGCCCCCCACCACCCCCTCCTTTGCTTTATGCCTCAATTCTATTATGGTCAGCTTGTTAGTTTTGGCTTGTTCTTGACCTTTTGTTTAGTTTCTCTATATTCCACATATAAGTGAGGCCATCCGGTATTTATGCTTTTCCTTCTGACTAATTTCAGCTAGCATAATTCCTTCCAGTTCCATCTATATTGCCACAAATGGCATGAGTTTGTCTTTTTTTTTTTTTTAATTTTTTTTTTTTATAGAGGCATTTTCATTTATTTATTTATTTGTTTGTTTGTTTGTTTATACATGCACTGGGTACAGTCAGAAGCGCGGGAGGGTGAGAGAATTCACCAGAGCCAGAGCAGGATGCAGAGCAGGCAGAAGGACCGAAGTACACTGCTGAGGGGAGCAGCGGGCGGCAGGAGAGGTCTGCGCGCCATGTGGGACCCTCCTCTGGTGGCCGGGGAGCAGCCGGGGATCGAACTGGCGCCGCAGAGGCGGCGGGCAGCTTCGCAACCCAGCGCTCAACCGCTGCGCCACCGGGGAGGCCCGAGTTTGTCTTTTTTGATCATTGAGTAATATTTCATTGTATAACTATATCACAACTTTTTGATCCACTCGTCTATTTTGGGACATTTGGGTTGTTTTCATATCTTGGCTATTATAAATAATGCTGCAATAAACGTAGCAGTGCTGGTTTCTTTTTGAATTAGTGGCTTTGTGTCCTTTGGGTAGATTCCTAAGAGTGGAAGCAGTGGATCGTATGGTATATCCGTATTTAGTGTTCTGAGAAACTTCCAATCAAGAAGTATTTTTTTTAAAGATTTATTTATTTATGCAAGAATCAGGGTACAGACCAGACGTGCGGGAGGGTGAGAGGATTCACCAGAGACGGAGCGGGGAACAGAACAGGCAGAATGACCAAAATACACTGCTGAGGGGAGCAGCGGGCGAGACAGGAGAGGTCTGCCGCGCCATGTGGGTATCTCCGCAGCCGGTGGGGATCGAACCGGCACTACAGAGGCTGCAGACAGCGTCACAGTGCTGCACTCAACCACCTGCACCACCAGGGAGGCCCCTAAGAAGTTTTTGAGCAGCTCTTCCATGGCCAACATACTATATTAGGGACTAGAGAGTCAATGATGAGTCAAACAGGTAAGGTTTCTGCCTTCTTACTGTGGGAAGACACCAAACAAATTCAATCAACAATTACCAGCTACTAATACCAGGCCTTCTCTAGGTGCTGGGATGAGCAACACAAAGATCCCTATCCTTGTGGAAGTTACATTTTAGATATTAGCCTGATTACTTTCTAAATAAGTACATATTATTTTAAAATGGTGATTTGTTCTATAAATGCAAAGGTTAGGGTGGAATGAGGACTTCTAAAGCTTTCCTAATTCAGCCTGGGTGTTCAGGGAGGTTTTCTATGAAGCTATGGCATTTTAAGTTTGAGATTTGAATAAGAGTAGGCTTAATTGAGGAGAAGAGTGGGTGACAGGGGCAGAGAACATATGTGTAATACTAGTAACTCTTATTTAATCTGTCCTTTCCGCGTTACGATGCCTTTTCACAAATGTTCTAGAGATTGGGACTGCCAAAGATGGGAGGCAGTCCCTGCTGCCTCAGAAGCTTGTACCAAATTGAATTGAGTCCTCAGCTCCAGAACGCTTGGCAGCCACTGCCTATACTTTGCTCCTTCCCAGGAATCACTGCCAGTTGACAGTCGCTGCTTGGCTTCCCTTGGTCTCTGTTGCCTGGAACAATTAGTACCAACTACGATAAGAATGAACTAAAAACTGAACTCGGCTTCTTTTATTTGCTGTAATGGAAGTCACCCTAGCGCCCCCAGAAATGTGTCCGCATACACACTGCTGCTGGATTTAATCAAGTGTGGCCTGAATAATCGACCTCCGGGCTTGAGCTAGCCTCTTCTCCTAACACATGTACAAGCATTTAGCCCCTCTTTCCTTTGCTATTAAATTCTATCATTTAAATTTTAATGCTCTTTTTCAAGTGTTCCCATTAGCAAGTTTTCACAGCCTGGATCACATTCCAACTACAAAATATTTCACATAGTTCTGTGTAGACATAATATTTATGGGAACTGAAGATGGGTGGATGCTGATCATGACTGTGGCGTCTCCAATGCAGTGGAAATAACAAAGAATTCAAGAAACTAATACTTTGAGAGTTTTGTCCCCCATAAACTTCTCAAGCATACTTGCTGGAACCCAGCAGGATCCAGGGAGCGATGCCTGGTTGAGAAAGCTAGGTTTGTTCAGTGTTCTGCTATTTTACAGAACAAAATCTAAGCTGAACTCTGTTTATTGTCAATAGCTCTCTAACAAAGGGCAAAATGGAATGCGCCTGTTTTCAAATTCCTGTGAAAAGGGCCCTGGAAAACCTCAAGGCCTGGTTTAGGGCAATTTACATCACTATTTTTCAGGGCTTTCCTTTAACACTTTCTAAGCCATTGAAAGAGATCTTCCCAATCATGAATTTTAGCATGGAGCCATCTATAAGAAGACTTCATGTGGATTGTCATCGCATGGAAATGAAAAGCAACTGCCCATATCCTGCTTGAAGTGTAATGACAGCAAGGGAGGAAACTGAAATGGGAATAGCTGGGAAATTTCCAAATTGGTAGCACTGACCCAAAAGTTGGTGTTTGCAGTCTCGGGGAAGGAGAAATGGTTTGTTGGTAACAGATGCTAGAGATTGAGGGGAATCTTGCCAGGACAGAAGCCTTGCCAGATTCAGAGGTATGGGGGAATCAACAGCTATATTTCTGACTTTACATTTGGGAAGCAGTTCTTCTGCTCAAAATGCTCTGCTCCCTGTTTTCCCATGTGGTTCCGCCTTGACGTTCGCTTCTCATGACAAATGTCACCTCTGTCAACCCCACCCAAAGTAGCAAAGCAGCCCACTCCCAACATATCACTTCATTTGAATGACCTGCCCAGCACTTCCAGCTGACATTTTCATCTGTTTTCGGGTTTATTATATTACTAGATTGTAAGTTTCATGTTAATAGGAAGCTTTCTGTTTACTACAGAGTTTGATCACTGGCACATAGCAGGTGATCTGTAAAAGTGTTAAGTGAAGAATAAAGACTAGGGGGCCTCACCGGTGGCGCAGCGGTTGAGCGCTGGGTTGCGAAGCTGCCCGCAGCCTCTGCGGCGCCGGTTCGATCCCCGGCTGCTCCCCAGCCACCGGAGGAGGGTCCCACATGGCGCACAGACCTCTCCTGCTGCCCGCTGCTCCCCTCAGCAGTGTACTTCGGTCCTTCTGCCTGCTCTGCTCCCCGCTCTGGCTCTGGTGAATTCTCTCACCCTCCCGCGCTTCTGACTGTACCCAGTGCTTGTATAAATAAAACAAACAAACAAACAAAAAAAACCAAATAAATAAATAAAATAAATCTTTTAAAAAAAAAAGAATAATGACTAGGATAATTGATTCTACAATTTGAGTTAAGAAAGAATCAGCTCTGTAGAGGCCATGCCCTAGTATCTGTAGGTAATTATTTTTCTGGCTCTTATGCAAGGTAATAATAATTTGAGGTATGTGAAACCCCTTTCTTCCCTAAAAGGAATTCTGGAACCAGTAGAAAATAGAAAG